TTCTTTCTCTCTTCACTTGCTAGTATTACACTCATTATCAATTTGTTTCTCTGTTAGAACATGAATATGTTATTATTTTTGGTTTTCCAATTGTTTTAGAGGAGGAAAGAATTCACTTTATTATAAAGGGATAATTCTTTCTTTTCTTTGTGACCTCTTGTGCAGCATTCTTGAAGGAAGTGATGTCAATTACTGGCAGTGAAAAGCTTGACTGTGGACAGTTGGTTTTATAAGATTTAGTCTAGAAGTTGAGGAAGATTAATTCGAATTAGGAGTGATCTTAAAGTACTTACACATTGAAATTACTATCTTTTATGATTTAGTTAGATTTGAGTTTTACATGAGAACAAATCATTTGATTTGACATTATTTATCTTGTACTAAGTACGTTTTATATTGCTACTATGTTCTTCGATTACTATGCTAAGAGATATTTGATATACATTTATTTCATGTTTGTTATATAAGTTGATATTTGTAAATGTAAATGTGTTCATGATGAAACTAAACACAGCATTATTATTTACATTCTAATAAATATGATACAGATATTAATTTAAGTGTCAAATATTTAATGCGACATTTTGCTATGTTGTAAAAGATATGTCACTAAACTTTTTTAATGACATTCACATAAAGTGGAAACGACATTTTGTATATGTTGTGAATTTTCTTAGTGACATTTACCAAAATGTCGGAAATTTCAATACGACATTTTGTAAAGATCATATGTAAATGTCGTATTTTTTTTAGTAACATTAATTTAATTGTCGAAAATTTTAAGTGACATTTCCTATATGTTGTAAACTAAATGTCGTAACATTCTTACCGATATTTACCTAAATATCGTAAATTAAATGTAATAAATTTCTTATTGACATTTACATAAATGTTGCAAACTAAGTGTCGAAAATGTCTTATCGACATTTACCTAAATATTGTAAAATAAGTGTCATAATTTCTTACTGACATTTACCTAAATGTCGTAAAGTAAATGTCATAATTTCTTACCGACATTTACCTAAATGTCGGAAAATTACTGCTATTGAAATTAACGATATTTGATGCAAATGTAAATTAAATGTCGGTAAATAAATTTGTGACATTTAAACAGCTTAATACGATATTTATTACATGTCGTCATATCTCCACTTTCTTGTAGTGTACTGTACTCTTACTAAGTGGCAAATTTGTTAAATATGAATGAATTTTTTAGAATAACAAAGCCCTTTTTAGAGTATTTAAGAATGTATCGAACTCGAAAATGAGTCTACAATTTTGAAAGAAAAAAAAAGTGAATCTACAATTGAATTTTGAAATGCAATCTAACTTTATCTATATTTGTTAGTGATCATATATGCTCGAGAGTATTCCAAAGAGCAAACTATTCCTAATTCTTCCAACTAGACTTCACTCTTAACCTTGAAAATTTTTCTCTAACCGGGCACGATTATCACTAAAGACCCAGGAATCGCAAATAAGGAAATAACTATCAGCTGAAAGAATCAGCTTTTTGAACCCTATTACGATAAGACAAAAAGCCAAATCATAATTCGAGTGTCCTTCTATTATATTGTACGTAATAGATAATTAATTGAATATAGCATATGTAATATAAAGTTCCAGGTAAAGCAAACTATAGACATACCTATCGTAAAACTTGGTAGCAAGCAGAAGCTTTAATTAAGCCTTGAAACCTACACTTTGAGAGTTAAAATTTAGACCGTTTGGTAGCCTTGAACTGATGCGGTGGCCGTTCAGTTTTGGATTTAAAGGATACGTTTTATTAGTTTTTGTTAAAGGTCCAACATACCCTTAAACAAAAATTAAAAGATAGGTAAGTAGCAATGTCGAAAACCAGCTCTTCTAATATATAGAAAAATTAATTTATAACCTTTAATAGAGACATAATTATGGTCTTAGTAAAAGCACAAGAGTTCTGATGGAACTGTTATGTATTTGCATAGCTGAGATCAACCATTTATAATACAGAGTTCTGATGGAACTGTTATGTATTTGCATAACTGAGATCAACCATTTATAATACAAGAGTACAATGAGCTTGGGAGAATAGGAGTCTACAAAGATAAGATACAATCTATACAGATAAGTATTTGAGTTCAAAAGGAATTATCCATTTGAGAAATTATTAGCCGTGATTATCTTCTATATGCCCCCGCAAGATCGGTGTTGCCGGACGGAGACCGATCTTGGAAACAACTCAGTAAACTTCTTCTTCGGCAATGGTTTTGTTAGAGCATCAGCAGTTGTTCAGCAGAGGAAGTATGGCAGACTGTAATCTCTTTCTTTTCAACTTGATCACGAACGAAGTGGAAATCAATGGCAACATGTTTCATGCGACTATGAAATATTGGGTTTTTGCAAAGATATGTGACACCGATGTTGTCACAAAGCACTGTGGGAGTGTGCTTGAGGGGAAGATGGAGCTCATTATGCAGGTGGGTTAACCAGTTGAGCTCAGCAACTGTGGAAGCAACTGCACGGTATTCAGCTTCAGTTGAGGAGCGAACAACGGTGCGTTATTTTCTGGAACTCCGGCTTATAGGTGTACTACCATGAAAAATAATGTAAGTCGACGTGGAGACACGGGAATCTGGATCACCACCCCAATCAACATCAGAGTAAGCTGTGAGCCTGGTTGTTTCAGAAGGATTAATGTGCAGTAATTTTCTGCTTCAAGTAGCGAAGAAGACGCTTGGAAGCCTGCCATTGCTTAATAGATGGAAGGTGCATGAACTGGTTGAGCCTGTTGATGGCGAATGATATGTCCGGTCTGGTGTTTGTAAGGTATTGGAGAGAACCTATTACCTGTCGATATTCCTTGGCATTTGTAGGAGGTGAACCATCGTTAAGCAAGAGTGGTTCGATTGAGGACATAGGTGTTGAGACTCCCTTTGCTTCCATCATGTTGAAACGACTTAAAAGTTCAGCTATGAACTTACTTTGAGTGAGAAGAAGACCATTGTCAAGTGGAACAACTTCAATGTTTAAGAAAAAGTGCAAGGGACCAAGATCCTTTAATGAGAACCTACTGCCAAGCTTGGAGATAATGTCAAGAATCTGAGAACTTGATGGCCCAGTAATAATAATATCATCCACATAGATGAGAACATAGATCAAGGCAGTGGATGAGTTATAGATAAAGAGGGATGTGTCAGAATAAGCTCTTCGAAATCCACAAGAACATAGAAACTGCATGAGCGCATTATACCACGCGCGTGGAGCTTGACGCAAACCATAAATTGGCTTGTGGAGACGACATACATGATTTGGATAGGTAGGATCAATGAAGCCTTGTGGTTGTTGCATGAAAACAGTTTCCTCAAGCTCACCTTGTAAAAATACGTTGTTGACGTCAAGTTGATGTAAGGGCCACTTATAAGTGACTGCCAAAGAAAGTATTAGCCGAATGGTAGTGTGTTTAACCACTGGGCTGAAGGTAGCATGAAAATCAATCCCAGGACGTTGATGAAATCCTTTGGCAACAAGACGAGCTTTGTAGAGTTGAATGGATCCATCAGCATTGTGTTTCAAGCGAAACACCCATTTGCAACCTACAATATTTTGAGCAGTGTTAGATGGAACAAGAGTCCATGTCTTATTTCGCATAAGGGAATCGTACTCTTCACTCATAGCTTCACACCACTGGGGGTATTTTTGTGCTTGTTTAACGGTGCTAGGAGTGAGGGACAGGGAATTAAGTGAGGAGGTAGCAAGATAGTCAAATACTTGTTTTGGCTTGAAAATGTTATTTTGGGATCTGGTAACCATACGGCCTGGTGGTTGATTTGGTTCATTGGATTGTGGTAGTAGGTGGTGGAAGTTTGAGAGGGTGTTTAAGGAGGTAGTAGGTGTAGGCAACGTAGGAGGAAGAGGCGAGGCAGAAGTGGAGAGTTGGAGATCATTGGTTACGTCATTATTAGAGGCTACAGGAGCAGTAGATATGCTAGATGGAAGAGAGAGGTTGGTGATGGAATGGAGAAGTCAGTTGGGTTATTCGGTGTAGCTTTCTGAGTGGATGACTCAAGAAAGGGAGCTGCCCAGGTAGATATAGTGGAGGACGAGACACGGGGCAGAAGTGTAGCAGTAGAGTGGAATGGAAAAGTGTGTTCCAAAAAAACAATATGCCTAGAGATGAAGATTTTATTTGATGAAGGATCTAAGCAGACATAGCTATTTGTAGAGGAGGAATACCCCAAGAATACACATGGACAACTTCTTGGATCGAGTTTATGCATGCTATAGGGTCGTAGCCAAGGATAGCAGAGACACCCAAATACACGTAACTTATGTGGATTTGGAGGACGATGAAACAAGGCTTGGAAAGGGGAGCTACCTTTGAGGAGGGGTGTGGGTAATCGGTTGATCAGATATATTGCAGTTTGGACAGCAAGTGACCAAAATTTGAGGGGTACAGATGCATGATGAAGAATGGTAAAAGTGGTTTCAAGAATGTGTCAATGCTTGCGTTCGGCAATGCCAACTAGTTAGGGAGTGTATAGAGGGCTCAAAAGGTGTTGAATGCCAGATTCTTGAAGAATAGTTTTAAGGCAGATGTATTCACCACCTCCATCAGTGTAAAGTGTACCAATTTTAGCGGAGAAGTAGTTCTCAACAACTTTCTTAAAATTGATAAAGGTTTGAGTGACATCTGATTTGTGCTTAAGAGGAAATAGCCATGTGTATTTGGTGAAATGATCAACAAAAATGACATAAAAACGAAAATTATCAAATGATGTAATAGGAGCTAGACCCCAAACATCTGAGTAAATTATTTCAAATGGTCGATGACTAACAATAGATGTTGCACCAAATGGAAGTTGGTGACTTTTATTACAAAGGCAGGAATTGCATAATGTAAAAGAGTTACTAAGGGACACTGGAAGCTTAAAAGAAGAGATGAAGCTCTTGGTGATACGTGGCTGCGGATGGCCAAGTCTTGCATGCCAGAGATGTAAGGTAGGAGACTGGGAAGCGACGAAGTGATCTTGATGTGAGAGACTGGTGGATCTACTAGGCAGCTTAGTTGTTGGCCATTCATAGAGGTCATTGTTGCTCTGTCCTTGATGTAGTGCTGCCCCCGTGTTCAAATCCTTAACAACATAAGAGTAAGGAAAAAATTCAATAGAAGTTAGATTTTGACGACAAAATTGTGCAACAGAGATTAGATTGCGTCTTATTTTTGGTGAACATAAGACATGATGAAGAGAAAAGGAATGAGCAGGTGAAGTAGAATGAAGAGTAGTTTGACCAATGTGCGAAATTGGGATACTGTTACCATCTCCTATGATGATCTCATCATTGCCTGAGAAATCAGTGACGAAAGTGAGGTTGGACGGATTGTCTGTTATGTGATGTGATGCTCCGGAATCCATAACCCAAGGATTTCCATTGTTGTTGTAGGAGCGAGCTACCATGTTTGCTTGTGCTTCATATTTGTTGTGCGATTGAGAGCGACAAACCTTGGCTATGTGACCACATTTGTCACACAATTGACATTGAACACGTTGTTGGTTGGATTGACGGGAACCGAAGGACCTAGAGTTGTTGTTAGGTGGTCCAGGGTGGTGACGACTGTTAAAAGAGTTATTGGGTCCTCCTTGCTGCTGGTTGCTACGGCGTTGTTGGGTATTGCTGGCTGCGTTGTTGTAATTGCGCCTGAAGGAGTTTTGGTTTGATGGGGCTCGTTGATTTAATTGAGCAGTGATCAAGGGTGTGTTGGTTTTTGGTTCTGAATGTTGGAGAAAGACCTCATGGGCTAGGAGCTTGTCATACAATTTTTCAAAGGACATTGGATTATCTCGAGCACGGATGGCTGCTAAGATTTCATTGAATTCCGACCTAAGACCGCTAAGTATTTTTGGTTAATGGAGACCCACTGGATGCAAGATCATCGGCAACTGATTTGATCTCTTTCATGTACTCAGCTACTGTACGAGATTCTTTTTGAAGATTGGAAATGATGTCGCGAAGGCCAAAGATTCTTGACTGTGATCTGTTTGCAAATGTTGTTTGGAGTATTTCCCAGGCATGCTTAGCAGTAGATGCTTGGGCTATCATTGGGGCAATGGAATGTTCAATAGATGCCATGATAGCATTGCGAAATAAGCTGTGTTGGCGGAGCCAGAGCTTGAAGTTGGGGATGATCAATTGCTTATCATTTTCTGCGTAGTATTCAGCGGGACAACTAGAGGAGCCGTCAATAAATCCCAGTAGATCGTAGCCGAATAGTAGAGTTTTGACTTGGGCTTGCCATGTTGAATAGTTGGTGCTTCCTGCTAGTTTCAGAGATAGTTGGGAAGCAGGGTTGAAAGATATTAATTGAGATGGTTGAACTATGGAGTTATGACCATAGACAAGTGATGGAGTGGAATTGGTTGTTGATGATGAGGAATTGTTTCCCGTATTGTAAAACTTAGAGCAGATTACTAACTCTTTGGAGTGTCAATTGCCCTGATACCATAAAAGCACAAGAGTTCTGATAGAACTGTTACGTATTTGCATAACTGAGATCAACCATTTATAATACTTAGTGCCATAAGAATAGTACTTATTCTCATAATATATTTATTGGTTTATCTTTAGAGTGTTGTTTTTTCTTATATAACCATACATCATTAGGAGGGCATAGAAATATGATTTTTTGAAAAAAAAGTTTTCAGAGTTAAGTTGAAAAAGGTATTTGAAAATTAAAATTGCGTTTGAGCATGTCTTTCACTTGAAAAAATACTGTAATTTTGCAAGGAAAATAAAATTTTACATATGATTAAACCCACTTTTTCAAATTTAGAAACTCACCTTCAAAAAATAAAAATCAAATATTTATTATGGATAGAATTCTATTTAGAGTGAATGTCTATCTTGTAGAGAGTTTTACTTTGTGGCTAAGTCATTTTTCCCCTATAAATAGAGGGGTCTTACCCCATTGTAAATCATCCCACAATTCAATAAGAATTTTCTCTCTCTCTTTTTCTGCAATATTGTTCTTCTTATTTTTTTATTGTTTTATAACATGTTATCAGCACGAGACTCTACCATCTCAAGAAGCTTTTGGGAAGATTATGGTATAACTTTTCTCCTCTTTTTAATTATGACTGATATTATGAAAAGAAAGTTCGTTGCCCTTGAAATTTCGGGCAAGAACTATATGGCATGGGTGTTGGATGCTAAAATCTATTTAGATGCTATGGGTCTTGGAGATGCCATTAAACACAAAACTAAAGCATCCACCCAAGACTGTGCTAAGGCCTTGATTTTCTTGCGCCATCACCTTGATGAAGGTTTGAAAATAGAATATCTCACAGTCAAAAACTCACTTATTTTGTGTAATGGCTTAAAGGAAAGATATGATAACTTAATGTTGGTCACGCTTCCGCATCCACCCAGGACTGTTAGTTATTTAAACCTATAAACGGGTTTGCCTAGTGATAGATGCAGATGTGAAATTCAGGAAGTCCTATAGGCATATTATCTATATGATATACAGCGTTTCAGAGATGACTTATAGACATGGTCTCTATATGATGCAGAAATGCAAAACCTATAGACATGGGTTATATATGAAATGTAGAACCTATAGACATGGGTTCTATATGAAATGCAGAACCTATAGACATAGTTTCTATATGAAATACATAACCTATAGACATGGTTTCTATATGAAATGTGTAACCTATAGACATGATATCTATATGCAAACGAAAGTTGAAAGCATGATATAAGTGCAGAAGTATAATAATCACCTATGAACATGATATCTACCCCTTTTTGCATGCATGATTTACCCTCCCCTTTTCACTAAAAGCCCCAATAGTTATTACAAGTTATTACAACCCAGAATAAATAAGAAAATGTAAAATTACATCAGAGAAACTAAAAAATTTACAACCGAGGAGAGCCTGATTCAGGTTTCCTGCCTGAAGCATGAAGTAAACCAACTCCAAAGACCAAAATCCTAAACCTTTCTCATTTGGGTGTGTCAGAGTTCCCACGAGCCTCATGGACTCCGGGCAGTGCTTACACCCAAATACAAGATGGAGTCATAGTGCAGTGTAGAAGAGCCAGCCCTCCAATGTCCAAGTTCAGAGGGAACTCAAGGTCCCAAAGCAAGGCTCACAGGAGGAGGGCAGAAATTAGAAACTAGGAATGAGTGTAAGTGCAGAGAAGGGATTCTGGGGAAAAGCATAGATAGGCTGGTGGTCATACCTAGCAATTGGAAGTGCTGACACACCCCAACCAGCCTGTTAGACATATTGTTTGGGAGTTAGGATCCCCTAAGGGATCAAGTCCAAACATGAGCAACAATTTGGATGTTGCCATGTTCTGAACTTCAACTCAAATACATAGAAGGGGACAGGGGTGCAGGGATTCACAGTAGAAACATACGCACAGAAGTTGACATGCTAATTAACATTAAACATAGGCAGTAAAGCAGACAGGGGTGCAGGGATTCACAGTAGAAACATACGCAAAGAACTTGACATGTTAATTAACATTAAACATAGGCAGTAAGCAGACAGGGGTGTAGGGATTCACAGTAGAAACATATGCAAAGGAATTGACATGCTAATTAACATTAAACATAGGCAGTAAAGCAGACAGGGGTGTAGAAGATGTAAAGTAAACACATTGGGATGAGGCTGAAAACCAAACTAGAACATACCAGTTTCAGGGAAATAAATGAAGAGAAAGCAGTAGTCTTGTAAAGCCAAAGTGTAAGCAAGCAATTAGAACACTATGATTTTAGAAGAGGACTATGAGATTGAGTAGTGTAAAAGTGTTGAATTGAGAGTGTGTAATTGAAAGTGTCTGAAAAGTTGAATTCGAGGTCTTTTTGTGAGAAAGGAGTCGTGCCCTTTTTATAGTGTAGAAGGCAAGCAGAATAAGGTAGGAGAATAATTTAAAAAAAAAAATTAGTTGTCAATCAATTACAAAAGTTTCCCTTTAGTTAAGGGATTCTGATTTCAAACGGGTAAAATAATTAAGGAAAGAGGTTGAACAAACACTTTTCCAAAGTAGCACAAGAAAGGTAAATACATAGAGATTTATTTAAGGAAAAAGTTTGATAGCACACGGTTTGTGCAAAATAAGGAAAGGCAATCAATCAACAGCCAGTAAAATCAGAAATTGAAGATTTCATGTGAATCAACCTGGCCAGGAAGATGGGAAAAATCTCGACTTAAGGAAAATCAGTACTAATCAATTAAACCTAAAAGAGGATTCTGAATCAATTAAAAGTTGAAAACCATTTTGGAAGAAAGGATTCATCACACATATAAAAACATACAGCCATGCTCAAGTACGAAGAACTGTCATACCAATCAATAGAAGAGTCTAGCATAGAAAAATTTTAGAGTCATAAACAAAGAAGTTCAAGCTCAATTTATAGACTTAGAGTGAGTTTGAGAGAGTCCAGGGTTCCAAAATAGAACCCTAGTCCAAACACAAGATCAAAACTCGCCAAAACCCCACATCCTAGGGTTTCCAACTCGAATCAGATACAGAGACGAGGAGACAAATAATTGAAACAGGTTCAGAGGTCTCTTCCAGAGACTTATGAGAAAACAAACAAATACAATAGCAAGTTTGAAACAGCAAAGTGAAGAAACTGATGCAAAGCATAGTGAGGGTAGAAGGAACATGTTTTAAGAAAACCTAGGACTTAAACAAGTTCAGAAGCGAAAAGAGGTAGTATAACACTTAAGAACACAATAGAAGAAAAATGTTTAAAGAGAACTCAAACAAGGTCCGGTAAAAGGGCAAACAAAGAACTTAAGAACTCCGTAGGAGATACATACAGCAGGAGAACACAAAATACCAGAAAATATATCAACAAGACATATAGGAAAAACACAGTAGGACGAACATGTAAGCATGGTGTACAAACACAGTAGAAAGACAAGGCACAAAAGAACATATATAGTAGAAAAACATAAGAAAGCAGTAGAAGCACATGCGTGACAAATATACACAAAGGAGAAGAAAAGTCGGAGAACAATTTGAGTTTTTCCAGAAACCCTAAATCGAAGAGAAGTAATTTTGGAAAGAAAAAATTGGGGAAAACGTTTAAGAACTCAAGTAGAGCACAAATATAGAACCGATTTAGAAAAACAATCAGAGAAAACCTCGAATAGCTAGGGTTTCAGAGGAACCCTAAAGCGAGAAAGGCTTGGAAAAGGTCCGATCAAAGTCGGATGAGTCAGAACCAGGCTCGAAATGCTTTGGATACGCCGGAGCAAAGCCGGAGAGGCCATGGAACATTGAATCGGAGATGATCTGAACGGACACCATCGAGGCCAGACCTCGAAACTTCGAACACCAAGCATTCAAGAGCAAAGGGAGGTGAGTATAGTCCATCCATGGCCTGAGAGGCCATGGATTCCGGTGAGATTGAGGTTTAACATGGTAGAAGACGATTAGGGTGTCAAGAACCTTCAAGAGAGTTTGAGAGAGGAAAGTAATTCAGGGGCGGCTGATAGAGTGAAATGAGTTAGGGTTGGGGGTTTGGGTGAATTAAAATGGTAAGGGGAGATCGTGGCCGTTGATCAGATTGATCAACGGCCTGGATTAAAAGGGGTTTGGGTCGGGTAATTAAAACGGGTTAAGGGTATGGAATTGGGCTTGTCCGGTTGGGATTCAAAATTGGGTCAATTAGGGGGGGGGGTCAATGTGGCTATAATCGAAATATAATGGGGCTGCAATTGAAACGAAATGAGGCCAACTTTTAAATAGCCAGTTTTCCCCCTTTTATTTTATAAAAATAGTAAAAATGATTTTGAAAGCGAATTAAAAG